GAAGTGGTCTGTGCAGGTCATTTATAAAGTAAGACCCATAACTCATAGTTTTGAGTTTTGTATAAACAAACAATGCATGAAACATATTTTGCTGTAGCCAAACAAATTGTCCACTTGATTTCTATGATATATATGTTCATCTGATTGGTCTGAAGTCAGTGCTTCACCGGTGTTTCCACATTCACAGTGGCGGGTGTTGTGTTTAGTGCTTACAGCACAGAGAGACAGATGAAGAGTGAACAGGACTTCAGCAGCAAAACAGCCTTTTCTAGATGGAAATATTGGCAATATTTCAGACTCACTGAGGTTAAAGGTAAAACTGCGCACGTCGAATGCACATTATGTTCCAGAACAAAACGAAAAAGTAACGCAATAGTTACTTTTACTGGTAACTAGTTACTTTTATAGTGGAGTAACTCCGTTAGTAACTCAGTTACTTTTTGGGAGAAGTAACTAGTAACTATAACTAATTACTTTTTCAAAGTAACGTGCCCAACACTGCATAAAACCAATGCATTATTAAATCTCTATGCCGGCCCATGGGCTGTATGCACGAGGAGGCGTGACGTCATTTCCTGTTAACAAAGCACAGCCCGTTCACTTCCTACCTACGCTATCCTATGGCTTTTAGGTGGGTTTTAGTGACGTTTTTTTAGTAATTAGATTGACACATTCACCTGAGACTTACTCAAAAGTGTCGCTGTGCTTTCTCTCTGAGGTAGAGCTTCGACTGTGGCCACTCAGAGAGATTTGTAAACTTTATAAAAACACAATGACAGCAAAAAGCACTGTTGTGTCCCAAAAATGCCCAGTATCCTCACAGTTTAATTCCCGTTTGAGCATTATTTGGGAAACTCGTATAAACCACTGTTGAACTCCAGTGAAACTCAAGCCTTTCCCCGCGCACAGGAAGTGAAGTGGGGCTTTAGCTAAAACGCGGAAGTGGTGCGTGCGCATAGAGCCCATGGGAACAGGCCCATTTCCCTGGGACCTCTCTTGAGTCACCTCTGGTTGTGACTGCATTATCTAGGCCGTATTGTTGCTGCCTTTTCAGTAGCAGTTGCAGTATATCGTCGCTGCCTCCTGGGTCTCCACATGCAAATGAAAAGATGAACCCAGTCCCTGGATCAGAGCTGGGTGTGCTCTGGGCTCACATGCAGCATCAGCGTTTTGGTCCGAGCCAAGGCCAGCTCCATCCCTGGTGAGAGACAGATGATCTTTTCAGTTAGATTTGCCTTCTGCTTTCTCAGCCGACGCACTGTACGATGAGTATGTGAACATGTTCCTGGCTCTGGGATAATCCTGCAGAGGCCTCCGAACACACGCTCCGGGCTCGTGGGCAATAACGACCAACTCAGTCCATCATCGTGCTTATTATTGCGATTTTGGCTTTATATTTTACAACACTGTCTCCTGACCTTAAACTGTATCACAGCAGTGACTGTGTAATGTCCCCTCTGTGCCTCCACTCACATTTAATGCCAAAAATATTGACGGCAAGCATTTTGTGAGGAAAAACATCGCAAATAAGTTGCTATTTAAAGCAGCAGAAGATATTATATTCTATATAGAGAAAACAAAACCACAAATATCTTTATACTTAAGAGACTTTATTTTTGTGCAGATTTCCACATTGTATTTTTAGTTTCTATCCTAAAGTGAAGTAAAAATGTCAAACCAATTAAAAATCTTTGTAGTCCCACAGTCTTTTGGATTTTGGAAAATAAGTTTTCTCCAAATGCATCTACGTAATCAAAGAGCAAAAAGCCAGACTGGACATAAGGAGTGAACTGAACTAGCCTGGTCTTACCATGTGTAAACTCTGGTCCATGATCATTTCCTACATGTACGTCTGGTCTTACCATGTGTAAACTCTGGTCCATGATCATTTCCTACATGTACGTCTGGTCTTACCATGTGTAAACTCTGGTCCATGATCATCTCTTACATGTACGTCTGGTCTTACCATGTGTAAACTCTGGTCCATGATCATTTCCTACATGTACGTCTGGTCTTACCATGTGTAAACTCTGGTCCATGATCATTTCCTACATGTACGTCTGGTCTTACCATGTGTAAACTCTGGTCCATGATCATTTCCTACATGTACGTCTGGGTCTGATCCTAGTGGCTGCAGTTTCCTCGGTTGAATCCCCTCCGGCCAATCAGAGAGCGGGGGAGGCGGGTGTTGTAGGTCGGTGTCGGTGACGTCAAGAGTTTGTGCTGAATTTGCTGGTTGTTAGTAAGTAAGGTTTATTTATGTTGCGCATTTTACAGACCAAGGTCACACAAAGCACTTCACAATTATTCAGATATTTTGTTTATTGTAGTTTGTCGGAGAATGTGATAGTAAAATAATCTGTTCTGGTTCAATCCAAATATCAACAAACTGAAGCCGGAGCAAGAGGAATGTTTAGTAAATGTCATTGAGGCAAAGATGTTGTGGCTCTACTCCTCACGGGCTCCGTTAGTGGCAAAGGAGATGGCTAAAGCTAGGCTAATGCTAAAGCTAGGCTAAATGCTAAATGCTAACAACAGACTCCGGCGCATTACATACGTCACAGTAAACTCAGATCCAATCGTTTCAATCTGCAAAAGGAGTTAACCCCTCCCACCTGTTAACGGAGCTAAATTTAGACCTTAATACGAAATTAAATTAGTACAATTCTGTGATAAGACCAGGCTAGGACTGAACTGTAGTGTTGGCTGAATGTGGAATACATCCTTGGGAAGTTGCTGATTTTAATATAAGCTAGCTGGAGCACATTTCCCTGTATGGGCAGTAACAGGAGCAGATATGAACCAGCGTGTTGCTCACATGGTTGTTTAGGTGTAAGTTCAAACTGTAAGCGCAGAAGTCAACATTTACATAAGGTCATGTAAACGAAGGAACGTAAACACTAAAGAATGAATAACTCAACACTGTAAAATATGTTACACAGGTTGAAAATGAAGTCCAAAATGGTGGGTGTGCGTTTTTTCTTTTTCTTCGTCCATGAGCGCTTCTCTTTGAGGCTTCATTGTTTGAGACGGTTAGCACTGTCCATGTTTACACAGAACAGCGGATGCTAAAGTCACAGATGTGTTTTTGTAGAGTGAAACATTGCGATGCAGGTCCAGTCAGTGTTGCCAACTTAGCGACTTTTCAGACCCTATAGCGACTTTTTTTCAAAAAAGCGACTAGCGACAAATCTTGACAAAGCATTAAAATCATTAAATGTTGTTAATGTTGAAATTATTTTTGTACATTTGTAGTTCTAAACATATTTAGGGTGTTTTTTACTCACTTTTGTCTCTCCCACGACGTTATTCCTCTCTCCTACAGCGTCCGTCACAGTTATTTGCAAATTGCCAATTATGCAAATTAGGCGATGACGTCATTTAGCGACTTCAAGCGACATTTGGGACAGCCAATAGCTACTTTCCTTACTGAGGAGTTGGCAACACTGGGTCCAGTATGTTTGCTGCTTTAAGGACTTTGGCTTTGACATGTGCCGAGGTGTGGACCGGTCTGGCATGGACCGGTCTGGCATCTTTATCAGCAGCTCTCTCTCTGGACTCCTGGGAGCGGCCGCAGACGCCTCCTAGACCTACTCCGCTCTATTTCAGCCTCCAGCTTTTGAGACTGAGGGGAAGGAAGGGCAGAAAACTAAGATATTCCCGTTCTGTCTTGCTCTGACTCGTAGAGCTGTAAATGAAGTCTCCTAAACCGTCCATTTCAAGGACTTTCACTGTATAATAATAGTTTACCACATTGATATTGACAGTTCTATAAATCCGTCATGCTTAAAATTGATTAAAGCTAGGGAGCCTAAATATCAAGCAATATGTGGTCAAAATGATATTACTAGTTTGATTATTAGTTCTCACATGAATGTTATTTTGGCCCGTTTTAAATCAGCTTTTCTGGAAACTTAAAAAAACAGGACCACCCTGACGTTTCTAAAAGTGATCCAGGGGTCTTTCATTAAAGTACGTGTTTTCTAATAAGATGAAGAAAGAAGGTTGTGGTCTGATTTGTTTACAAAAAAATAATGTAGAACAAAGAACAAAAAAACAGAAAAGATAATTAGGTATTTAATTTTCAGGTCGGTATTATTGATGATATTATTATATGTTTTTATCAGTGGGCGGGTCCCGGCTCATAAAGGTCCATGAGCACGTGCGCTGACATGCCGCTGGCTCACTCCCTACAGGTGGGGGTGTACCTGGAAAGAGAATTACCCAATGCTTTTGTATGGCGTCTTCTTTACAGGATGGTCCAAAAGTCGCTCTTGGTCCAGATGCTTTCAGTGCTGAGGGGAATTTATTATTATTTTTTGACCAGTCTAATGTAGCCGCTGTGGACTTCTGAATGCACTTAGTAAATGAATGGGGCTAGTGCAGCTAATATATACGCAAATGTGTGTTTTATTTTTTTTCTGCCCCACTGCCATTTGGAAAAGCCCACAGAAGCCAAAAGTGATGCAACATTAGTTTCAGCGGTGGAGAAAGGCGTGACTATGTCCGTTAATGAACAGTTATGGTTTTTATATGTGACCATCACTGATATGAAGACATTTCTGACATAAATTTACACTTAAAGCTGCACTAACTGACTTTATTTTCGTATTCATTACAAAAGTGCTATCCATATCCATGTAGGGCATTGGGATATACGTCCTTTTGAAGAAAAAGTATCGCAGGTTTGTGCTGGCGTGACATATTTTAGATCGAGTTTTGATGAAACAAGGAAGAGAATGTGTTTCGGGTCGCAGATTGTGACCAATCACAGCGGACCACTAGCCCCCACTTTCATGAGAAATCTACAGGTCCGTTAGCACAGACAGCTGAGTTAGCACAACAAGCGGCGGAACTAACCTGAAGCTTCCTCGTCTTCTTCACCGGTTACTGCTTACTCAGCGAAACATCCAGCCAAAAGAAAGTCCCGGTTCTATCGTGCTATGGTCACGCCATCCACGTGCAAATCCATGTCCATGTATTATCCATATTGGGAGACGCTAGCTCCGTGAACTAGCGTCTCCCGCACCCACTATCGCCCGATAGTCGGGTGCGGGCGATAGCTTCGTGGGTGCGGGGGGGATAGTTTCGTGGGTGCGGGGGGGCGATAGCTTCGTGGGTGCGGGGGGCGATAGCTTCGTGGGTGCGGGGGGCGATAGCTTCGTGGGTGCGGGGGGCGATAGCTTCGTGGGTGCGGGGGGGATAGTTTCGTGGGTGCGGGGGGCGATAGCTTCGTGGGTGCGGGGGGCGATAGCTTCGTGGGTGCGGGGGGCGATAGCTTCGTGGGTGCGGGGGGCGATAGCTTCGTGGGTGCGGGGGGCGATAGCTTCGTGGGTGCGGGGGGGATAGTTTCGTGGGTGCGGGGGGCGATAGCTTCGTGGGTGCGGGGGGCGATAGCTTCGTGGGTGCGGGGGGCGATAGCTTCGTGGGTGCGGGGGGCGATAGCTTCGTGGGTGCGGGGGGGATAGTTTCGTGGGTGCGGGGGGCGATAGCTTCGTGGGTGCGGGGGGCGATAGCTTCGTGGGTGCGGGGGGGCGATAGCTTCGTGGGTGCGGGGGGCGATAGCTTCGTGGGTGCGGGGGGCGATAGCTTCGTGGGTGCGGGGGGCGATAGCTTCGTGGGTGCGGGGGGCGATAGTTTCGTGGGTGCGGGGGGCGATAGCTTCGTGGGTGCGGGGGGCGATAGTTTCGTGGGTGCGGGGGGCGATAGTTTCGTGGGTGCGGGGGGCGATAGCTTTGTGGGTGCGGGGGGCGATAGCTTCGTGGGTGCGGGGGGGATAGTTTTGTGGGTGCGGGGGGGGGCGGTAGTTTCTTGGGTGCGGGGGGCGATAGCTTTGTGGGTGCGGGGGGGCGATAGCTTCGTGGGTGCGGGGGGGATAGTTTCGTGGGTGCGGGGGGCGATAGCTTCGTGGGTGCGGGGGGCGATAGCTTCGTGGGTGCGGGGGGCGATAGCTTCGTGGGTACGGGGGGCGATAGCTTCGTGGGTGCGGGGGGGAGATAGTTTCGTGGGGTGCGGGGGGCGATAGCTTCGTGGGTGCGGGGGGGCGATAGCTTCGTGGGTACGGGGGGCGATAGCTTCGTGGGTGCGGGGGGCGATAGCTTCGTGGGTGCGGGGGGCGATAGCTTCGTGGGTGCGGGGGGCGATAGCTTCGTGGGTGCGGGGGGGATAGTTTCGTGGGTGCGGGGGGGATAGCTTTGTGGGTGCGGGGGGCGATAGTTTCGTGGGTACGGGGGCGATAGCTTCGTGGGTGCGGGGGGCGATAGCTTCGTGGGTGCGGGGGGCGATAGCTTCGTGGGTGCGGGGGGCGATAGCTTCGTGGGTGCGATAGCTTTAGCTTCGTGGGTGCGGGGGGCGATAGCTTCGTGGGTGCGGGGGGCGATAGTTTCGTGGGTGCGGGGGGCGATAGTTTCGTGGGTGCGGGGGGGATAGCTTGTGGGTGCGGGGGGCGATAGTTTCGTGGGTGCGGGGGGCGATAGCTTCGTGGGTGCGGGGGGCGATAGCTTCGTGGGTGCGGGGGGCGATAGCTTCGTGGGTGCGGGGGGCGATAGTTTCGTGGGTGCGGGGGGCGATAGTTTCGTGGGTGCGGGGGGCGATAGCTTCGTGGGTGCGGGGGGCGATAGCTTCGTGGGTGCGGGGGGGATAGTTTTGTGGGTGCGGGGGGGTAGTTTCGTGGGTGCGGGGGGCGATAGCTTTGTGGGTGCGGGGGGCGATAGCTTCGTGGGTGCGGGGGGGATAGTTTCGTGGGTGCGGGGGGCGATAGCTTCGTGGGTGCGGGGGGGATAGTTTCGTGGGTGCGGGGGGCGATAGTTCGTGGGTGCGGGGGGGCGATAGCTTCGTGGGTGCGGGGGGCGATAGCTTCGTGGGTGCGGGGGGCGATAGCTTCGTGGGTGCGGGGGGCGATAGCTTCGTGGGTGCGGGGGGCGATAGCTTCGTGGGTGCGGGGGGCGATAGCTTCGTGGGTGCGGGGGGCGATAGCTTCGTGGGTGCGGGGGGCGATAGCTTCGTGGGTGCGGGGGGCGATAGTTTCGTGGGTGCGGGGGGCGATAGCTTCGTGGGTGCGGGGGGCGATAGCTTCGTGGGTGCGGGGGGGATAGTTTCGTGGGTGCGGGGGGCGATAGCTTCGTGGGTGCGGGGGGCGATAGCTTCGTGGGTGCGGGGGGCGATAGCTTCGTGGGTGCGGGGGGCGATAGCTTCGTGGGTGCGGGGGGGATAGTTTCGTGGGTGCGGGGGGCGATAGCTTCGTGGGTGCGGGGGGGATAGTTTCGTGGGTGCGGGGGGCGATAGCTTCGTGGGTGCGGGGGGCGATAGCTTCGTGGGTGCGGGGGGCGATAGTTTCGTGGGTGCGGGGGGCGATAGCTTCGTGGGTGCGGGGGGCGATAGTTTCGTGGGTGCGGGGGGCGATAGCTTCGTGGGTGCGGGGGGCGATAGTTTCGTGGGTGCGGGGGGCGATAGCTTCGTGGGTGCGGGGGGCGATAGCTTCGTGGGTGCGGGGGGCGATAGTTTCGTGGGTGCGGGGGGCGATAGCTTCGTGGGTGCGGGGGGCGATAGCTTTCGTGGGTGCGGGGGGCGATAGTTTCGTGGGTGCGGGGGGCGATAGCTTCGTGGGTGCGGGGGGGATAGTTTCGTGGGTGCGGGGGGCGATAGTTTCGTGGGTGCGGGGGGCGATAGCTTCGTGGGTGCGGGGGGCGATAGCTTCGTGGGTGCGATAGCTTTAGCTTCGTGGGTGCGGGGGGCGATAGCTTCGTGGGTGCGGGGGGCGATAGTTTCGTGGGTGCGGGGGGGATAGTTTCGTGGGTGCGGGGGGCGATAGCTTCGTGGGTGCAGGGGGGATAGTTTCGTGGGTGCGGGGGGCGATAGTTTCGTGGGTGCGGGGGGCGATAGCTTCGTGGGTGCGGGGGGGATAGTTTCGTGGGTGCGGGGGGCGATAGCTTCGTGGGTGCGGGGGGCGATAGCTTCGTGGGTGCGGGGGGCGATAGCTTCGTGGGTGCGGGGGGGATAGTTTCGTGGGTGCGAGGGGCGATAGTTTCGTGGGTGCGGGGGGGATAGTTTTGTGGGTGCGGGGGGCGATAGCTTTGTGGGTGCGGGGGGCGATAGCTTCGTGGGTGCGGGGGCGATAGCTTCGTGGGTGCGGGGGGCGATAGCTTCGTGGGTGCGGGGGGGATAGTTTCGTGGGTGCAGGGGGCGATAGCTTCGTGGGTGCGGGGGCGATAGCTTCGTGGGTGCGGGGGCGATAGTTTCGTGGGTGCGGGGGGCGATAGCTTCGTGGGTGCGGGGGCGATAGCTTCGTGGGTGCGGGGGCGATAGTTTCGTGGGTGCAGGGGGCGATAGCTTCGTGGGTGCGGGGGCGATAGCTTCGTGGGTGCGGGGGCGATAGCTTCGTGGGTGCGGGGGCGATAGTTTCGTGGGTGCGGGGGGGATAGTTTCGTGGGTGCGGGGGGCGATAGCTTCGTGGGTGCGGGGGGCGATAGCTTCGTGGGTGCGATAGCTTTAGCTTCGTGGGTGCGGGGGGCGATAGCTTCGTGGGTGCGGGGGGCGATAGTTTCGTGGGTGCGGGGGGGATAGTTTCGTGGGTGCGGGGGGCGATAGCTTCGTGGGTGCGGGGGGCGATAGTTTCGTGGGTGCGGGGGGGATAGTTTCGTGGGTGCGGGGGGCGATAGCTTCGTGGGTGCGGGGGGGATAGTTTCGTGGGTGCGGGGGGCGATAGTTTCGTGGGTGCGGGGGGCGATAGCTTCGTGGGTGCGGGGGGGATAGTTTCGCGGGTGCGGGGGGCGATAGCTTCGTGGGTGCGGGGGGCGATAGCTTCGTGGGTGCGGGGGGCGATAGCTTCGTGGGTGCGGGGGGGATAGTTTCGTGGGTGCGAGGGGCGATAGTTTCGTGGGTGCGGGGGGGATAGTTTTGTGGGTGCGGGGGGCGATAGCTTTGTGGGTGCGGGGGGCGATAGCTTCGTGGGTGCGGGGGGCGATAGCTTCGTGGGTGCGGGGGGCGATAGCTTCGTGGGTGCGGGGGGGATAGTTTCGTGGGTGCGGGGGGCGATAGCTTCGTGGGTGCGGGGGGCGATAGTTTCGTGGGTGCGGGGGGGATAGTTTCGTGGGTGCGGGGGGCGATAGCTTCGTGGGTGCGGGGGGGATAGTTTCGTGGGTGCGGGGGGCGATAGCTTCGTGGGTGCGGGGGCGATAGTTTCGTGGGTGCGGGGGGGATAGTTTCGTGGGTGCGGGGGGGATAGTTTCGTGGGTGCGGGGGGCGATAGCTTCGTGGGTGCGGGGGGCGATAGCTTCGTGGGTGCGGGGGGCGATAGCTTCGTGGGTGTCAGTTAGTGCAGCTTTAAGCTTGAATTAAAACAGTAAGTACATGTTTTAAAACTTACTATAATGAATGTGTGATAAATGTGCATAAAAACCCACCAAAACTAGGAGTAGATCCAGCAGTAAAACCCAGACCCGGTGAACAGGGGAGAAGCTCAGAGCTAACTCCAACACACTGTTTTAACCAAAGAAAAAAAGTTCATGTTTTAAATAACTTTACAGCTGTTCACTCACTGCCGCTGCTCTTGGGCTGCCATGTTTTAATTAACTTGTGCTGTCAATTAAGCGGCTCATTTATAAAGAGGATTCCTCCAACAACAACTTAAGCACGATTAGCTTTTAGTGAAGGAAAAACGGCAACAAGCTGGAACACGTCAAAACTAATGTGTTCTTTAAATCATCTCACTTCATTTTCCATCTGATCAAATTGGCTCCAATTGGCTCCAACTTCAGTCTCGCGAACAGACGGAAGGAACACAACATTATATAGTAATTTATTAATTCTGGCGGGTGTCTTCTGAAGGGCAATTTACAGCTTTTACCAGAGCCATAATACAATACTTTATAATTACAACATTTACAGGTGCAATGCAACAGTGGCAATGATGTGTGACGGAACAGACACAGAGAAACTTCTTTATCAGCAAAAATACTCAGCTTTCCATGGGCTCTTATAGATAAAGGCATTTCTCATTCGTTTGCCAAAGAGCCGCGTGGCAAGAGGTTTAGAATGCTTAGAAGAATCTTATAATAATGTATCGAAGCCTGTTTCGGCCGTAGACTTCTGCGTTTGTCACAGGTCTGAGAGGATCTGACAAAAGTGTCGCTAGAACTGCTAAATTTAAGAACTATTATTACTAACCCTGACCCTATTACTGCCAAAAATGACTAAATCTGAGGTAATAATTGCTGAAATCAAGTGGTTTCATCTAAATTTGAGTTCATTCTGAATGTGTTAAACAAGATTCTCCAATGGGACAAAGCCGTTTAGTCTAAAATTTCAAGAAATGTTTTATTTTCTCATTCCAAGGGAGACATTTCTTGTGTCTTTTTAAAACAAGATCAGATCATTTGGTAACACTTTAGATTAGCCCTCTCTAATTAACAGCTAACTAAGTGCTAATCAGTGTATCCTAGACCTACAGTAACTTTAGCCCTAACACTTGCCCTAAACATAATCTCAGCCCTAACTCTAACCCACATGCGAAAGTGTTAGTTAGAAGTTAGTTTAGTGTTGAATAAGGGTTAACAAATAAATATCAATTGAGAGCTAATTAACTCTTTAGGCGCCAAATAAATTGTGAGAGAGACAAAAGATGACACTTTGTAACTTAACAATAGACAGTGGACAACCTTCATCCGTGACAGAGAAAAAAGCATTGAAGAAAAGGATGTGAGAAAAATGAAGGGAGGCGTTTGTGTGAAGCCAAGTCACTGCATAGAAAGTGTCCTGGATTTAGGAGCTTGGTTAGAAATTCTGCTACTTTGGCGCCTGAAGGGTTAACAATAAACTAAAGTAAGTAAGTGGGTAATCTTTTTTATATAGCGCCTTTCTCAGACCAGAGCCACAAAGCGCTTTACATTTGTTATTTGTGGGCCTTTGTCTCTGACTCCACACAGAGATGGGGGCGGGGCCAGTGCAGGCGGGGCCAGTGCAGGGTGCGAAACCGGAGCACCCGGAGGAAACCTATGCAGACACGGGGAGAACATGCAAACTCCACTCAGAAAGTTCCAAACACATATTTAGCACTTTATGAGCTGTTAATGTGTGAAGGTTAAACTAAAGTGTGACCGATATTGCTTGTTTTAAAACAGTCCAAATTTGCTCAAACGAAGTCACATTTTCCCAGATTTTGGTCACTTTTGACTCATTTCTTCTCACTTTTTGTGTATCATAAGAACCTTCTAAGCCTCGTGTTTGCCGCCTGCTTGTGCCACGCGACTCCGTGACAACATCGGCAAAAACATCCAACATCATTCCATAGCTTACAAACGCATTTTCTTATTTTTTTTTAATCAGTCTGTAAAATAAAAGCAGCAGACTTTGCAGAGACAAGTGGAAACAGCGTGTTTGAGCGTTCGCAGAAGCACAGCCAGCCGCACCCGCACTCATTTGTATTCAACTCTCACTCTCTAATAGAAAAGATAAAATATGCAAATTTCTGAACATAGAGCACTTGGAGAGAACAATTTGAAGGTTAAGATTGATTCAGCAATATCCACGCTGTCTGTTAGGCCTGGGAAGAGGAACAGAGAGGATCAGAGCCGACTGCTGTGTCAAGGAACTTAACTGTGTTTGTAAAAGCAGGAGCAAAAGGAGGAACGGGGTCTCAGCCTGTTCTGGGCCTTTCTGTTCTCTCTCCTCTGATCTGCACGGCCATAATCCATTCACACGACTCCGAGTGGCGCATCAGCAAACCATCAAAACCAAATTCATAGGAAAAAAAAGAAAACGTAATCTAGAATTTGAAAGAATGTTTTAAAAATCCATCTTTGTCAATAATTTATAGAGCCACTTCCCACAAATAAATAATCAAACAAATAAATAAACAAGCAGGCAAGCAAACGACAACAAGCACGTCTTCAGCGTCATATGTATAAAGTCTCTGGTAATTGAGTTTAGGAAAAATAGTCTGAACGATGTCTTCACCACTGAGGTTCTCTCCAAAATGGTGGTCACGGCTGCAAAACAGATCACCAACGTTTGTGAAGGTTCAGCGACAATATAAAGATCCATCTTCTTTGTCAACACACGTATCCATCCGTCAATACATCCAGCAATGAAAAAATACATGTACTCTTTTAAAACTAGACTCTCCTGTGGTTCCTCGGGTTCCTCGGGTTCCTCTGGTTCCTCTGATGTGCTTTCGTTTGTTGGACACAGGTTCCAGTTCCACAGATTCCACGGAGCAGAGTCAGTCCTGACAGACACTTAGCAGTCTGAGGCTAAAGCACTGTGGCGTTGTGGCCCTCCATCCGGGGCAGCCGGGGGTCCTGCACTGTCCCCATAGTGACCAGCAGGGGCCTGTTGTCCTCAGACCCGCCCGGTCTGCCCAGGGAGCTGGGGATGGGTCCCCGTGTGTGGGGGGCCGCACTGGGGTCCATAGGCAGCCCTTGCTCCTGGTATCCATAGCCGATGTTTCCACAGGGGAAGCGCCTGAGTCTGTAGAGGGGCACAGGGGGCAGGGTGTTGGCGTCCAGCAGGAGGGGGGACTGGGCAGCAGGAGGATGAGGAGGGGGCAGCAGGGGTCTGCACATGCCCTGCTGCTGGTGCAGCATCTGCAGCTGCTGCTGGATCTTGTGCTGGTGCTGCAGGCCCAGAGCTCCGGCCACCTCGGCTACAGTCCGGCCCACATGCTCCTGCCCCTCCCCGGGCACTCTGCCTGCTGTGACCCCCCCCACACTGCTCACGGCCCCCACCGCAGCCTGCCGCTGCTGCTGCTGCTGCTGCTGCTGCTGCTTCCTCTGCTGCTGCTGCAGGAACCAGGAGCCGTAGGTGGGGTTCCAGAGGGTGGTGTTCTTCCCTGCGCTGTGCTCTCGATCCACAGTGTGGCCCTGGGTGAAGGCAGGGTTCACGTGGCCCCCCTCTGTGGGGGGCTGTGTGCACACCTGTGGGCCCTTGGAGGAGAGTGCAGATGTGGGTGTAGAGGTGACCGCAGTTGTCATGGTGACGGTGGTCTGTGTGTGGGGCAGAAGACAGGGCTGTGCTTTGGCCTCGCTGCTCTCTGCTCTGTGCTCTTCACAGGGGTACGACGGGGGCTTCAGACCCTCCCCATCAGGCACCTGGGCTTTCACCACCACAGCAGGGGTCATCTGGTCCTCTGGCTGCCCGGCTCTCTCCTCCTCCTCTGGGACAGGGCCGTACTCGATGGGCAGAGGAGTCGTCACCACATCAGGGTCCTATGGACACAGTTATCAACAGTGTTCAAGATGAGGTTCCCCCACTGTGGAAATATAACATTAACTTTGACTTTGACATGAACACAGATGAAAGGTGGGATCTTTTTCACTGGATGGCACCAAGGTTTCAAGAACTGTGAAGGCAGTGTGGGAATGTGCTTTCAATTATGGGGTAATGTGGTGGAAACGTGGTGGTCTTCATTTAGATCAGAGCTGAATCACCTGTAAGCAGTAGTCGATTCTCTCCAGAATAGTGGAGAAGTTGGGTCTGTCCTCAGGCTGATGCTGCCAACTCTGGGTCATTATGCGATACCTGAAACATTCACAAGCATTCTTGCTCAAAAAAAAAAAACAAATGCAAATGTCATGTCCACCAGTCGCACGTCTTTTCTAATTGAACGCTGCCAGCTGGATTGCCTCCAAGTCTTAAACATGCTTCATATTGTTTTGATTGCTTGAGGCAGAATCACAGAGCTACAGCCTCCTTCTAGTTTGACTGATTATGTTCAATGGTTTGTTGAAAGGCTGAATATGCTTTTAATTGCTGACGACTAGATAGCACTCTCTTTAATCCTGGTTTTGAGGAGAGATTTTTAAACTTTGAATGAAAGGCCCACTGCTGGGTTGTTGATTTTATCGGGCAATACATTCCCAGCATTCGCAGACGTCCCAGCAGGAGTGTAATCACATAGAGGTGAGTTTGGGGATAATCGACCGAGCCGGTTTCTCACCCATAAACGTTACACAGTTCAGCTGACAAGACGCATTATCTGCCAGACCGAAATCAAAATAAAGACTGGTTTTTAAATTGTTTCTGCACACTCCATCAGCTCGCGGGGCCTTCTTCCGTGATCCGTGACAAACCTCAAAGAACATGTAAGCACGACAGCCATATTGGAAGCACCGAGAGCACATTTTCCTGACGCCTTCTAGGTCACAAGTCTTCCCTGAGTCGATAGCAGCTAATCAGTAGTGGCTTTCATGTGTGCGTGCATGTGTGCGTGCATGTGTGCGTGCATGTGTGCGTACATGTGTGCGTGCACGTTTGCTGCACGGTGGCACCATCTTGTTTATGTAGAGCAGCAGTAATTGGAGCTCCCGGGACTGCAGCCGATTCTTGTGGTCATGTGAAACTCATACAATCCATGCATTAGAGACGTCTGTTCTGAGGCTTTTGAGACGCCATTTCTGCAGTTATTTTTAGAGTCTGAAGCCGTAATGTGTCAAATGATCATATTACACAACGAGAAGTCATCTCGAGAGGGCGCACACTTGGTTTTTGTAGTTCAACGTCTCTTAAGTGTTTTGACAAAAGGATTAGTTTGATAAAATAATGAATTGGTAGATTTTTCTGAACAAAATTAATGAAATTGCTGATTGTTTGTGTTGAACCAAAACTGGATCAAATGTGAAGAAGGATTTTATTATAGATTTTATATTATGATTGGGGAGTTGGGGTGGTACTAAATAAGTGATGTGCTTCTCTTTGAGGCAGACTTAGGGAGGTACAGTCCATATTCATTTTGTCCTTATTCTTTTGCACTCTTCAACTTTTCTAATTTTCTTCCTTTTACTTTTTTGTGACATTGCCTGAAATAAATGTATTTAAAATCTGTTTACATTTTGAATTAAAAAAGTAGAAAAACATTTAATGAGTATGGTTGTATTCTTTCAATGACGACTCAGACGCTGTGAACGTATTATAAAGTTATTATTGATGCACTTTTTCCACATTTCCAGAGTTAAACTATTGTTAGTATTAGATAGCAATATGGCCTACGTGCAGGACTGTACAAGGACTCTACAAGGACTCCATGTTATGACTATGATGTGACTGTCTCTTTGTGACACGTATGTCTTTCGATGTGTGACGTGACAATGACTATATAAACTGTGTACTGCCTTTATTCTGTCTGAGAGAAAGAAACAGAGTAAACCAGTGGAACTTGAGAGAAACTTAAATAAACTTCCAGAGTTTGGCACACCACGATCCGTCTCTGTCTGCTAAATCCTAACAGATTTGGTGGAGAATGCGCGGCTCCGTGTGCGCCATTCTCTGGATTGTTTTGGGGGAGTTTGCTTTGTTTCTTTTCCTCGGCGTGAGAGACCGGCATGCTGTGTCTGGGAGCGGAGATTCCAGCAGGCTGGAAGAGCTGTTCCTGGATGCTTCTTGTCGCTTCTGTCACTTTTGTTTTTTTAAATTGAATATTCCGACGCGGAAAAGAGTTGGCAGACCTCTCGGACAGTCCGTGCATGCACCTGTTTGACAAGAATAAGGTAAGCAGACACCTTTTTATATGTAAAGTCTGCATAATTGGATACTAGCTAAATTTTGGTCTGTTTTTGAGGTCTGTCGAACTCTCTAAATTGTGTTCAAATAAGTGAAAAGTGTTGGCCATAAGTGAGGATCCATAAAGTGAAAAGTGTTGGCCATAAGTGAGGATCCATAAAGTGAAAAGTGTTGGCCATAAGTGAGGATCCATAAAGTGAAAAGTGTTGGCCATTAAAGTGAATAGGATCCATAAAGTGAAAAGTGTTGGCCATTAAAGTGAATAGGATCCATAAAGTGAAAAGGCCATAAGTGAGGATCCATAAGTGAAACCATGGTGTGTAAAAATAAAAGTAATTATAAAAAGGGAAACGTGTTAAGGAGGCCTTTGTTACAAAAGCGTTGAAATTGACGAATTTCAGGCTGATAAATGACAAAAGTAAAGAAGCAACAATATTTCAGTGATCACGGTTTAAATTACATACAGAAAAAGGGAGTTTTTGTTTTTTGGCGTGAACAGAGTTCACCGGAGAATGCAGAGTTTTATCTAAAGTTGAGCTATGAGAGCTTTCGTGAGTTATTTACATTTTTTTGCAGAGTTTTATCTACAGTTAAACTGTGAGAGGGCTGTATCCAACAGTTGTTTTTGTTTTTTAGAAAGAGATTTTGAGTTTAAACTAGTTTGCTACCTCGATAAAATAGAAGCGTACGTTAAAGTAAGAGTGCCTTTTGTTACTAGTGTGGAAAGTGATCACTTCTAGACTTGGATGACAAAAGTTTAAAGAACAACATCAGTTATATTTGCTTAAAAAAGTAATCTTGAAAGTTCTTCTTCTGTATCTTTTTGCCTGTGTGTGCACATCTCTATCTGCTGCCGTTGTCAGGGAAACGGCCCCCTCCTTCGCTGCTCTGGCTCTGAATCAGAGCAAAGCTACTGCTTTAGGATTTTTGGCTTTTCATAGTTGTTATTCCGTTAAATTTGTGAAATTTGCCATTTGAACATTGTGTTAGACACAGTTAAACGTTTTTAAACACCATTAGTGAATAAGTTTTGAATATTATGTTTTTTGAAACCCAAATATTAGTGCTAAAGTTTTGCTTTTCTTTTTAAATCTGCTGCTTATTTTGTGAGTCCATTATTGTATCTCTGATATATTTCATAGCTGTTAGTGAGAATTTTTTTATGTTTTTATTTTAGTTACAAAAGCCGTTTTTCAAACATTTAAATTAGAATCTGTTAAAAGTGATTATTGATTATAGACTTCGTCTAAAAAGAAAGAGGGAATTAGGCTGTAAAAGTATTATATTATTAAGTTAAACTACCCAATTCACATGCAAGTGGCGACTTTTTGTTTTTGTTTTGACTACACGCCTGACCTTACTGTTGCTGATGCCACAGCAGAGGAGCCTGGTCTAAAATGTGCTCCAATTCATACTGACTTCATTTGAAAAATGCTGCAATTATTTTAAATTAGTAAAATAAATGATGAGATAAAAATGGAAATTTCATAATCAACAGTACAAAAGTACACATATTTTAAAGTTTAAAGGTTTTTTGAGATTTGAGTCTTGTTTTTTATTAAGAGAGAGTTTCTGGTCTTAAAATGTCATCATTAGTAAGATAATAAGTAATCTTTATTTACATAGCGCATGTGGGAAAACCCAGAGCGCTCCAAAATTGTTTTGACTTTAGGGAGAAAAACAATCTCATTCGCATACTGATATCTATTGTTTTTTAAATTGGCCGTCTCAAGGATTGTTTTTCAGACTCTGCCTCACTGTACGAGAGGTCACTGCTGGACACTGGACAGCGCAAAGCCCACCCAGCCACAGGCCACAGAGCTAAGAGCAAAGGGCAACAATGCCACCTCTACGCCCCTCCCCCCACTACAGAAGTAAGTGGGAGTGAGACCGGGGCCACAAAGTGGAGGTTTCTGGAGGCAGTGATGGGTGGAGCATCAGGTAGAGACCTAGAGGCAGTTGAAAGTGTGTCCAGTTGGTTTGCATCACCACAGTGTGACCTTTGAGACCTACGGGTGGTTCGAGGAGTCTGGAGACACAACCCCAAAATTTACATACACACACACACACACACACATACACACACATACACTCATACACTCACACATTCACATTTACATATAGATACATGAAAAAGTAGAACATGAGAAAAAAGCATTTTAAAAGTTTACTCCAATGTAAACACATATTTTTAATCTGAGAATTAGAGCTGATTATAAAAAACTCAAATTAGAGAAGAAACTGAATAAAACTGCGCTTGTTTTTTTGCGTTCGGAGGGACATTAGCAACAGCATATGATAGAATTTGTGTTAAAGTAGAATTCAAGTGACTTAACCATAGAGAGTAAACTATTGCATTACATGTGTTGTACAGGAACTGAGACACTGCACCATTGACCAGAAGTGCATCGCAAATGATCCGATGTGATTCAAGTGAAAAGACTGTTATCTGGAGTTCCCTGATGTAATCTGGACCAAAACATGGCTTGGACAATACTGTTGACCAAGATGACATCTCTCTAGCACTGACCTGATGACGTCTGAGACTCACCCTCAGGGGACCTGAGGGACCTGAGGTATTCTAGGGATCTGAGAGAGAAAAAAAATGGGGAGTGTAGTTTATATTTTTGAAATCTTTACATTGATGAGTGCTAAAGAGGTGAGATACTCTGATTCTTTTTTTGTTTTTTGTTTTGTTACCTAGCTTCTGGACATCTGATGATTATTGGACACAGGGACATTTGCATGAACAAGAAAACAGCCATATGCAAAACGTCTCTTTATGCCGATGCTATTGTACAAACCAGAACCTGTGACCAAATGCTAGATAGACATGTAGTATTCAGACATCTGAAAGAACACAAAACTTTGAAAATGATAAGTTTTGAGTATTGTAGCGTTTTAGTAGATGTTAAATAGTAGTAAAAAAGGTAGATTTGAATCCTTGTTTGTTAAGTAAAAACACATTTCACGTAGAGTTAAAATTAGTAACGATACATGTTATCTCTTTTGA